GTTGGGGTTCGCAGTCACTTGTTGAGTGTTTTATTAGAATTGAAGAACATTATATTAAACTTAAGTTTTATGGTTATGTAAGTGGAGTTAGATATCTTTGTTAAGTTAAATTTTATAAATATTATTTGAATTTTAATTGTGGCTGAGTGATTTGAATATTTTTGGTTGTTTGGTACTCTTCATTTCTAGTATTTATTGGTTGTTTGATGCTATGTTGTGATTTAGATCAGGTTGATGTTGTTCTTGTGTGAAATTGAAAAAATTGCAGGATTTTGTGCAATTGCTGTCAATTCGGCAACGGAATTGGCAACGGAATACTAATTCCGTCGCTATGTGGTCACATTGCTATAAGGGTCGGCATTTCCGTCGTTAAACGTGGCGACGGAAAAATTCCGTCGCTAAAACCGTCGCCATTTTCCGTCGCCAATTCCGTCGTTGCCTCGCAACGGAACTCAAAAACCGTCGCTAACTTTGATACCTACGAAAAAATAACGACGGAAAAAAACCGTCGTTAATTCCGTCGTTAAACCGATTACCTACGGAAATAAGCCTTTGGCGACGGAATTTTTCCGTCGCGATTTTAGCAGTTTTTTGTAGTGGATATCATGTTTCCTATTAGTGAAATACATATTTTTGTAATTCAATGCACCCGGGTAATTTTTTTTAAAAAAAAGAACTTGAAATTTTTCATGTCACAAATTTGTGGCAAAATTTGAATTTTAAAAAATCTACAATGTTTTTGTGACATTTGTTTTGTCACGGATCGATCCGTGACAAAAAAAACATAATGGTTAACTGTGCAAGTGTTATTATGTCACGGCGCGCTACATGACAATTCTGTGACAGTGTTTCGTTTTGATTCGTTGTGTAAATTATCTATTAATGTTAGGAGTTTACCAAATAATGTATCCAAGACTTTTATAAACACACAAAGACACTCAAAATCTATGCATGTACATGTAATAAATGTCGTCTCTGTGCATCTAAAAAAACTTTGATGTACAAATAAAATACACGATTTGGTATATGTGTATATATAGCTGCAACATTATCCTTAATTAAATTATTGTTTAAAGTACTTGTTCGCTTGGTTTCAACACACCATCAATATCATGTGTATATATGGGTATTACCATAGTGACATTATAATTGAAATTTGTAAAAAAACTACTAACAATGGAGCCCCATGCATGTTTGTTTGGAAGGTAGGGAAAGAAGAATTTGTTTAAAAAAAATTGAAAGAGATGTAATCCAAATATATTTTGCTTCAATTTCATCCTTTCTTTCTTCTCCAAATCGGAGAGTTTCTTCATACATCCTCACTTCACCTCTTCCTCATCTGATCTTCTTCCGACGAATTTTACTTCATCAGCTCTTCTCATTAAATGATAACAAAAATATTAATCAAAATAAATATAATAAAAATAAATTAAAAAATAATAAAATTAAGAAAAAACTAAAATCAAATAAAAACTAAGAAAAAAACTAAAAGAGAATAACGAATTAAATCAGAATAAAAAAATAAATTAAAAAATAAACAATAGAAATTAATAATAATAATAATAATAATAATAATAATATGGAGTACCAATTAAATATATAAATAAACAAATAATAAAAATACTACTAGTAATGATATACTCATAAAAAACAAAAGAATAAAAATGTAAAAAAAATAAAATATTACAAAAGAAATTATTAAAAATTGGTATAATTATTACTACTCCGTATTATTATTATGGTATTAATAATAAAATTATTTTTCTTATTCTTATTCATATTATAAAATATACTCCCTCCGTCCCACTCTCTTTGTCCACTTACCTTTTGGCACACCATCCAATGCACTACTTTAATCCATTTTATCTTGTAATTTGTATATTAAAAAATTATAGAAATTATATATTAATAATCTATATGTTAAGACAAATCAAACAAGATCACACATGACTATATTTAGGTTTACATATTGGGAGAATTTGATGAGTCAAAGTGTTTAGATAAACTGTTCCAAAAGTCAAAAGTGGACAAAGAGAGTGGGACGGAGATAGTAGAAAATAAATCCAGTAAACAATATAGAAAATAATAATAACAAAAATAAAAAAATAAACACATACATGAAAAGGAAATGAATAAAACATTAAAAATAAATAAAAATAGAAATAGAAATCAAAGCTTTCATAATAAATAACAAGTTTAAAACTAAATGTTATACATTAAAAATAGAAATAGAAATCAAAGCTTTCATTCCTTTCTCCCAATAGAAAATAGGATATGATGACATATAAAATGAAGACTCGCCAACAGAAATGGGCCCATATATTTCGTAGGATCAATTTAAACACCTTTGTTAAAAAAATCGTATGAAACGAACTAGGCCTATATCAAGCGCAAAAGTACAGTTGTTGAGATCTGTTGGATCATTTCTGCTCTCTAGACTTAATATTTATGATTATATATATATATATATATATAGGGGCCGGTTCTCGTGAGAATGCACCTTGTGGAGAGAAATGAGAATAAAATCTAGCCGTCGGATCTGATGTATCGTGCGGCTCAGATTGCATCCTGCGCTCAGATTTTGAGATAGTGCATTTTCGAAGGTTTATGGTGCATTTCGACGTGATGCATTTTCGCACCATGTTGGTGCATCTAATTTTGATGAAATCTTGACCCTTAGATCTCACAATCTAAAGCACCAGATTCATTCTCATTTCTCTTCTAAGATTGCATTCTCACCAGAACAAAAATCTATATATATATATATATATATATATATATATAACATTTTTATTTTTCCAATCAAATGCCGTACAAAAGGGCCCCACTTATCTCCGGCGTTCAAATCTTGGTTGCTCGAAGTCGGTAGAAAAGTTGAAAACGCGTGGTGAGTTGCGTTGATATATCCATTTGAGTACTCCGTATGATTTTTATATTAAGAAATCTCTCTTGCTAACACTAAAAAAAGTATAATGAGCATATAAAAATATCAAAATTAGTTTCCAAAACAGAAATATAATAATAGTGTGATAGAAAAAGTGACGACAATGTGATCTTTCAACTCGTAATCTGTAGATTACCAGTCAACGTCGTCAACTATCAGCGACAACACTCTAATGATCGGTGGCGACAGATGAAAGTGTGGTTATTGCAGTGTGACAATGTAGTGAGTGAAATAGTATAACAATGACAATGTTAATTCTTATATTAGTTCTTATTGGTGTTGTCAAAGTTTTTTTCTTCTTATCCAGAGAGTTATCCTTTTTATATTACATTTGTCCTTAAATTATCGTCTTAGATGCTTGTTAGAGAAATCATCCTAAATAAAATTAGAAAAAATTATAAAAAATAATCTCAACTTTACCCGGTTTTTCAAAAATAATCTCATCTTTCACTGTGATGCATAATAATCCCAACTTTATTGAAATTTGCCAATTTTGGGTCGCCGTTAAGTTTCTAACGGAGGGTTAACGGAGATGCCCGTTTTAGACAACAAAATGAAAGTTAGGATTATTTTTGATGAATTTTTATTTTTTAATTTTTTTTTGAAATTTTTATTTAAATTTTTTGAATTACTTTCAACCTCCATTTCTTTTTCTTTTTTAAAGATTATTCTTACCTTAGAAAAAAATAGATATAAAAATAATGAAAATGACAAAAATAACTAAAACAGTACAAATTAATCAAATAAATAATGTAATCAATAGAAATTAAACAGAAACTAGTAAGAAATAAAATAAATATATATGGAGTGGTGGGTTTTAACATTTTACACACTATACGAAGTTTTAATATACTTCTTATTTTTTAAAAGAACAAGCCGTCCGGTAAAATTGGAATTATTGTAAATAATTTTTTCTAAAAAATAAGTAGTGATATGTTAATACTTTGTATAATACGTAAAATATTAAAACCCACCCGTATATTTTTATTTTACTCTTACCAATTTTAAGTTAGTTTCCATTGATTACCTTATTTATTTTATTATTTTGTATCATTTTAGTTACATTTCTCATTTTTTCATTTTTTATATCTATTATTTTTATTTTTTAAACTAAGACTAATCTTTAAAAAAAGGAAAAAGAAATGATGATGGAGGTTGAAAGTAATTTTAAAAATTTAAATAAAAAATTAAAAAAAATGAAAAAAATGAAAATTCATCAAAAATGATCCGAACTTTCATTTTGTTGCCCAAAACGGGCATTTCCGTTAACTCTCCGTTAGAAACTTAACGACGACCCAAAATTGGCAAATTTCAGTAAAGTTGGGATTATTATGCATCACAGTGAAAGGTGAGATTATTTTTGAAAGACCAGGTAAAGTTGGGATTATTTTGGGTAATTTTTCCATAAAATTAAAACATAGAAAAAGTACCAAGATAAGAGTTTCATGTTTTTATTCACAAAATAGGAGTTCGCAGTGTGGTAATGTGGTGGTAATGTGACATTGTACATGTGCAATTACTATACCTTTTGGTAATGTACACGACCATGTTTGGTAATGTAAATGCATTTTAACTCCTATTTCGGAATAAACACATAGAAGGTCTATTTCAATATATTTTCAATGTTTTACTCATATTCTTTTCTTTTTCTCTGCTTTTTATAGTTTTTCGGTAAGTTTTGTTTGTTTGTTTATTTTCAGTAATCATTTGATATAATTTTTAAATAAATAATTTATATTTTTCATTCTTATACCAATTTCTAAAAAAATGATATCATAAATTTGGGGAGGGAAGAACAACCTTCTAACAAACGAAAATCATCCAAATTTTTTTGACAATGCAGGCGAGAAAAATCATCACAACTTTTTTGACAATGAAGGCGAGACAACTGTGACTGTGTCATTAATGGTGCTGTCTTTCACAGGGGATTCCAAACAAACTCCCTACTTTCCGAGTAAAAGTACGGATATATATACACTTCAAAAAAAGAAAAAGAAAAAGGAAAGAAAAATACGGTACTGTAAACTACTCCAGCCAATCAATCAACTTAAGATAACCATGTCATCTTCTTCATGTAAAGATTTGACCTTTGACTCCTCCATCTCTCTTTCTTCTTCTTTTCCTTCAATGCCATAGCTCCAAGGTTTGATTTTTTTCCATCTTCTTTTTAGCAGAGCCTAGGGTGGCATCTTTCTTGATCTTTGTTTATTACTGATGTTATAGCGTGCTTGAATTCTTTGATTTGGATTTCGCTGTTACGGCTGCGTGTTTCTGCTAGAGTTAAAACCATGCCCAATTTGTTGTTCTTGGTTTTGCCCATATGGTGTTTGATATTTGTCTCCTCAGAACTTGACCCTGTGGATAACTATCTGATAAACTGCGGATCATCTGAAAACACAACCGTGGGTGCCCGGGTTTTCTTTGCTGACCAATTGAATTCCACCATTCTTTCAACCCCGGGCGAGGTTTTCGCCAAAGCAAGCTCAGATCTTCTTGTTCCATTTCCCTTCAACTACATTTCTCCTCTTTATCAGACTGCAAGGGTTCTCAATGGAACCTCTGAGTTCGTTTTTCCAATCAAGAAACGTGGCCGGCACTGGCTACGCCTGCATTTTTTCCCGTTCGTTCAAGAAAACCATAACCTAACGTCTGCTAGATTTTCTGTTTCAGCCCAGAATTTCACTCTCTTGACAAACTTCCAGCCTTCAAATGCCTCCCCACTTAAGGAGTATTCCTTGAACATAAGTAGCAATCAGCTGGTTCTTGTTTTTACCCCTGCTGCCAATTCATTTGCTTTCATTAATGCCCTGGAGGTGATTTCACTTCCTGATGAGGTCATACCTGCTGGTGCTGGGTTGAACACTCCAGAAGGAAGTGTGCAAGATCTAAGGGCACATGCCCTGGAGACTGTTATGAGGGTAAACATGGGAAATGTAACAATTCCCCCTCAAAATGATACCTTGGGGAGGTTATGGTTTCCTGATGCTAGATTTCTTAAGAGCAGTAATCTTGTTCAGTTTGTAACAAAGCAAGAAGGCCTAAATTATTCTGCAGGAGGGGAGACAGAAAATATTGCTCCTCCTCTTGTGTATGAATCAGTTACCAGATTGAAGCAGGTGGATTTTAGCATTCGGTTTAACGCCACATGGCAGTTCGATGTGGATCCTGGTTTCGAGTATCTAATCCGGTTCCACTTCTGTGATATTGTTAGCGATTCTTCTAATGAACTCTTGTTCAACATTTTCGTCAATTCTCTCATTGTTTCTGCACATCTTGACCTCAAGAAAAAAACCTCAAAGGCCATTTCTGCTCCTTACCACATGGATGTTGTGAAAAGGCTAGTCACCAGTGGTGATCTAAGCGTAACGATTGGCCCATCCGAGATGCGCAATGTGTTACCAGATGGAATCCTCAACGGGCTGGAGATCATGAAAATAAGCAATTCCAAGAACAGTCTTGTGGCTGAAATCCAGTTCCCAAAAGCTAGCTCCAAGTCTAAAAGATGGGTGGTGATTGGATCAGGATTTGGAGCAGTCTGTTTAGTTGGTTTGGCTTTGGCATCTATTTTGGTTCACCGAAGTAGAAGAAGAAGGGTAGTTATCGAATTGAGTAAATATTCTGAAGAACCGTCTTCCGTTTTGAATTCCAAGACCGGGTATCTCATCCCTTTTAAGGCAGTTCAAGAGGCTACAGACAATTTCTGTGAAGAGATGATTATTGGCATTGGTGGTTTTGGAAAGGTTTACAAGGGAATGTTGAAGGACGGCACGAAAGTGGCTGTCAAAAGAGGAAACCGTCATTCAAACCAAGGGCTATCTGAGTTCATGACTGAGATAGAAATGCTCTCTAAGTTCAGACACCGGCATCTGGTGTCCTTGATAGGGTACTGCGACGAAATGAATGAGATGATCATAATCTATGAGTACATGGCGAATGGCGCGCTCAAGAATCATTTATATGGGTCAGAACATCTCCTTCCTAAGTTGAACTGGAGACAAAGGCTTGAAATCTGCATTGGATCTGCAAGAGGGCTTCACTATCTCCACACTGGTTCTGAGAAGGCTATCATCCATCGCGATGTAAAGTCAGCTAACATATTGCTCGACGAGAACCTCATGGCCAAAGTCGCGGATTTCGGGCTGTCCAAAGACGGGCCCGAAATGGACCAGACACATGTCAGCACAGCAGTGAAAGGGAGTTTCGGGTATCTTGATCCAGAGTACCTGACACGTCAGCAGCTGACCGAGAAGTCGGATGTTTACTCCTTCGGAGTCGTCATGCTCGAGATCCTGTCGGGAAGGCCCGTAATCGACCCGTCCCGGCCCAAAGAAACGGCAAACCTGATAGAATGGGCAATGAAAGAGATGAAGAGAGGGGAGTTGGAAACCATTCTTGATCCTCACATCATCAAGGAAGGGCTAAAAATGGAGTCTTTACAGAAGTTTGCAGAGACAGTGGAGAAGTGCCTGGCGGAGTGTGGGCCCGACCGTCCCACAATGGGAGAGGTCCTATGGAACTTGGAGTGTGCCCTTCAGCTCCAAGGCAGAGAAGATAAAAGAACTGGGGAGGGTACCCCAAGCACCCCTCCCGACGATATCAGCACCTCCACGACTCCGTTCAGTGTTGCGAGTATGGGTGATCTTGAAGGTGTTTCCATGAGTAGAGCTTTCTCCCAAATGGTAAAGTCTGATGTGAAAGATTTGAGTGACAAGATATGAAAGTGTATATATACATTTTTTTTTAAAAAAAATCTTGGATCTGTATACTCTGTGACTCATTAAGAGATCTGAAAGCATGCTGGATTTTTATGATTCTTCTGTTATTTTAGATACCTGAGAAACTATCTTTGGTGAATGTTTGGTCTGTTGAATATCTATATATGTATTCGTTGGTTATATATAGTTCATGTTTACCTACATAAGAATCTGATTCACAAATGAGTTTTGGATTAATTTCTTAGGGGACTATTTAAGAATCTAATTGACAAATAAGTTTTGTGCTTATCTTTTATGAGACTCTTATGAGTGAAATCTTAAAGATATATTCTCTTAAAACTATTAGAGAATAAGATATACTATTAAGGTGCATCCTCAAAATATACTAACACCTCCAAAAATGCAACCTTAAAAAGGCTAAAACATTCCAAAGTGCACCCACAACACATTTTCTTTCAAAATCTTAGGGGGTGTGTTTGATGAGCAAAAGAGATATGAGTTCTCACATCTTCAGATATCATGAGAACTTTTTATTGGTATTTGGTGAAGGCAAAAAAAATTTCAAATTTGATATCTCGAGATATTATAAATCCTCCAAATAGAAGGTTTTGATATCTCACGAATTTGGAAGACAACAATATAAGAATTGAATATCTCCCTAAATCGTTGACCATTTTTTCGCCAGTGTCTCTACTATTGTCATTGCCAACCATCTACGTTACCAGCCACCACCATCTATAATTAATTAAATTATGATTCCAAATCTCTTTAGACAATTTCATTTTAAATTTTAGAATCATATCATTTCTCTAAGATTTTAAAACACATATTATATCATACTTCCAAAACTCGGTAAAGGAAACCTGAGAAACTTCATGCAGATGAATGATAAAATTGTGAAATTGTGAAACTCATAACAACCATGTCATGGTTACATGACTTACACCAAAGAATATATTCTAAAATTATATCAAAAAAGATACACTAGCATTTTAATATTTCACACTGACACAAAATACTAGTGGGATTAAAAAAATACAAAATGAAGATGCACATACAAATTTTGAGGTGAAAATAGGAACCAACTCAGGAACCCCGAGCCATGACAAAAAAAAGATGGTGTTTTCCGACCCGCTTACCCGAATAAAAGATGTGGAGTATTTGAAGTTGCTAAACCTAATCTGAGTTCTCTTCACAGTGAGAGGATAAAGGGAGCTTGAATCGCAAGGAAACATCGAGATGGAGAGGGAGAAATCGAGCCGAAAAGAGCGAGAATCAACGAAGGAAAGGGAGCACAAGCATCGAAGCTCCAAGGAAAAGTACAGAGAACCCACCAGCGACGAAGACGATCATCGACACCACAACCGTTATCGCTCANTCCGACCCGCTTACCCGAATAAAAGATGTGGAGTATTTGAAGTTGCTAAACCTAATCTGAGTTCTCTTCACAGTGAGAGGATAAAGGGAGCTTGAATCGCAAGGAAACATCGAGATGGAGAGGGAGAAATCGAGCCGAAAAGAGCGAGAATCAACGAAGGAAAGGGAGCACAAGCATCGAAGCTCCAAGGAAAAGTACAGAGAACCCACCAGCGACGAAGACGATCATCGACACCACAACCGTTATCGCTCAAAGCACCACGGCGGCGATGACGATGGGGACCGCCACAGATCTGAGAATCGCCACCGCCGGTATTCCGAGGAGGATGCCTTCGATCGGGAGAGATCGGTTGAGCGTCGGAGGAGCGAGAGAGAGGGAAGCCGAGACCGATACAAGCGGGAGAGATCTCCAGAGCGGGAAGTTCAGAGAGAGGAATCTGTGGAGAGGCGGCATTTGAGCAAGAGGAAAGAGAGAGGAGACAGTGAGGATAGAAAAGATGGGACTGAGAAGAGATTTAGGGTTTCAGAGGGCAAGAATGAGAACGGAGTAGAGAAGGAAGATAGAAGGGAGAAGAGGAGGTTTGATGACAGTGAGGTTAAGGATAGAGAAGACACTCAAGAGAGGAGAGAACGGAAGAGATTTGTGGATAAAATGAAAGAGGAGGATACTGGAGTTGACAATGAAAGGGGGTTCCAACAAAAAACTGTTAAGAAAGAGGAGCCAGTTGATTCTCATCATGTTGATTCCATTGCCAGTGTGAGCTTCTTATTCATGTGCTTCTTCATTCATATACTCACCAATGAGGCTCAACAGTTCCTTTAAAACACTTGTCATAAATGTCATTTCTTAGTGATAATTATGTTTGCCCAATCTGCTTTTACCTCATTTCTTCTGTACTATACGATTGGATTTTTATTTGATTTTGCTTCTTGCAGGGGGCTGCAATTGAATCACTCAAAAAGGCACCAATTAATTTTCCTGGAACCCCTTTGGCTCCTACTGATTCTACTGCTACCAAGGTATCTTCGATTTCTACAAATGAAAATAAGGGAGTTAATATTATCAGATCTCATGAGGTTCCTGGGAAATCCAGTACAGATGGGATAGCTTCCGATGCTGGCAAGACAAAGGGGTTGTCTCTTGATGCTTTAGCTAAAGCCAAGAGAGCTTTACAAATGAAAAAGGAGCTAGCTGAAAAGCTTAAGAAGATTCCTTCGGTAAGTTGGTAGTTCTTGTACACATTTTCAGGAACCTTGATCTTTTCCAGGATGCTTTTCTGTATCCTACAGTATGTAATTCAGATCTATGTTCATCTATATTTATGCATCTTCATCTATATGTATGTGTGTACTCCTTTTGTGTGCATATACGATTGTGTGTGCCTGCATCTGTGTGTGCGCGCGCATGTATGCATAACGGGCATCTTGCTGCACACAGTTTCTGCTTTTTACTGCATGCACGGAAAGGTTAGGCCCTTTGGCTTCTTCTGTGCAAAGATTTTTTTATTGATATAATAAGAAAAGGCTAATTAAATGGACCATCTAATTCGCTGGTCAACAGGATTACTGTGCTGCTGTGCTAAGTTTTCCCTTTTTATATACTTTGACCCACAAAACTGTTCCAGTTTTGACTTTTGGAAGGGGAATTTGTAGATGTTTGATCAAGGAGAAGCGGCAACAATTGAAACAAGTAGGGCTTGGGAAATGTCAGAATGGGGAGGGCATAGAAGGGTGCTGGGTTGGTTAGGTTAGATTTTGAAAAAGCAAGGGCATTTATGTCCATTTAGGCCAAAATGAAAAGGTTTTAGGGACAAGTAAAAAATGAAAGAGGAATGGGTATTTGGGACTGCAGGAGTATATGTACATTTTAAATTGCTTGAGTCTCCTTAATCTGAAGGACGTTTTTTAAGGGAGTAATTTATGCATTTTATTTGCACAGTTGAGCAAGGCTGCTGGTCCAACTAGAGAGGGAAATCTTCAATTGGGAGCTACAGAGAGCATTAAAGCTCCATTATCTACTACTGCTCAAGCTGCATCTTCCAATTCAGGGTTACTACCCACACCATCAAGCTCATTGAACCTTCCTTCCGGTGCTTCTGTCAATCTACCACCTAGTGGCTTGCCTCATCTCACAGGGCTCACAGTACAGAAGTATGAAGCTGTTAAACGTGCCCAAGAGCTTGCTGCGAAGATGGGATTTCGTCAAGACCCAGAGTTTGCTCCTCTAATAAACATGTTTCCAGGGCAGATGCCATCAGATGTTACCATCCAGCCAAAGCCATCCAAAGTTCCTGTTCTCCGTTTGGATGCTTTAGGACGGGAAATAGATGAACAGGGAAATGTTGTTAGCATGTCTAAACCATCTAGTACTCTTAAGGTAAAATTTTATAGGGGTTTTAACTCCTTACTTTTTCAGTTTTTATTGTTTGCGTTATTCACTCGTCAAGTACTGTTTCGAACACATTCTTACAATTCTATTTACTCATCCAGGTTAACATCAATAAGAAGAAAAAAGACGATTTCCAAATATTGAAACCAGAGCTTGAAGTTGACCCTGAGCAGAACCCTCATTTTGATCCTAGGATGGGTCTTAACAAAACCAAGATTCTGCGTCCCAAGAGGAGTTCTTTTCTTTTTGTAGAGGAAGGCAAATGGTCCAAGGATGCAGAAACCATAAAGCTGAAGGTTCTTTTTTCCCCAATATGTTCTTTAGTTCTGCTATGGTACATCTTTTTTGCTTTTTATAATTTTTTTACTCTAGTCGTGTTTTTTCAACTCTTTCTATTTAGAGTCAATTTGGAGAAGCACGTGCCAAGGAGCTAAAGGCAAAGCAAGCACAGTTAGCAAGGGCAAAAGCAGAGCCTGATATAAATCCAAATCTTATTGAGGTTTCACAGAGAGTTGTGACCCACGAAAAGCAAAAGGAGTCGATTCCCGATGTTGAGTGGTGGTAAGTTGATGGTCATATTTTGTGTAGCATAGGTGAATGTAATATAAGGGTTTTTGTACAGTTGTACTAACATTGTCTATGAAAAGAGCCTTGTTCAATCAATATGTACAGCTTCTTAATTTTGTTAAGGTAAAACTATCATACATCACAAATCATTCTTCTCTTTCTAAAAAAATTAATTTGATAGTTTATCTAAAATTTTAATATGTCACCTGTTCTTCCCTTTTTTGTTTAGATTTTTCAGAAAATGAAATGATAAGCTAGCTTCGTTTGATCAAAGTGGACTTTTTTTTGGACCAAAAGATTCATTTTTTGGATGGAGGGAGTATTATCTGTTCTTATTTCAGTCATTTATGCCCCTTTCTGTATTCGGTTTCTTTTGACTTCCAGGGATGTTCCTCTATTGCAATCTGGCACATATGCTGACATTACCTATGACAGTATAAGCCACGATAAGCTCAGGATGGAGAAAATCACCATTTATATTGAGCACCCACGTCCCATCGAACCTCCTGCGGAATCGGCCCCTCCTCCTCCCCAACCACTAAAGCTAACAAGAAAGGAGCAGAAGAAGCTTCGTACACAACGTAGATTGGCTAGAGAGAAAGATAAGCAAGAGATGATCAGGCAAGGGCTATTAGAGCCACCGAAACCGAAAGTTAAGATGAGCAACCTCATGAAGGTTCTCGGGTCAGAAGCCACACAGGACCCCACAAAGCTTGAGATGGAAATCAGAAGTGCTGCCGCTGAGAGGGAGCAAGCCCACATAGACAGAAATATTGCACGCAAGCTTACCCCTGATGAACGGCGTGAAAAGAAAGAGAGGAAACTCTTTGATGACCCCAATAGCTCCCTTGAGACTTTGGTTTCCGTGTACAAAGTCAATGACCTTTCACACCCTCAGACACGGTTCAAGGTGGATGTCAATGCTCAGGAGAACCGATTGACGGGGTGTGTGGTTATTTCAGAAGGTATTAGCGTTGTGGTGGTTGAAGGTGGTAATAAAGCAATAAAGCGTTACGGAAAACTTATGCTTAGAAGGATTGACTGGGCCACTGCTGTCAAAACAGATGGGGATGGAGATGACGAGGACGATGAAGAGAAGGCTGTTAACAAGTGCGTCTTGGTCTGGCAAGGGAGTGTTGCCAAACACAGCTTCCACAGGTTCCTTGTTCATGAATGCAGGACCGAAGCTGCGGCACGGAAGATTTTTGCTGATGCTGGTGTTCCCCACTACTGGGATCTTGCTGTCAACTTCAAGGACGAAGATTTTTGAATCCTGAGATGGGTACTTCTCNAGAAGGATTGACTGGGCCACTGCTGTCAAAACAGATGGGGATGGAGATGACGAGGACGATGAAGAGAAGGCTGTTAACAAGTGCGTCTTGGTCTGGCAAGGGAGTGTTGCCAAACACAGCTTCCACAGGTTCCTTGTTCATGAATGCAGGACCGAAGCTGCGGCACGGAAGATTTTTGCTGATGCTGGTGTTCCCCACTACTGGGATCTTGCTGTCAACTTCAAGGACGATGATTTTTGAATCCTGAGATTTGTACTTCTCAACAAGGTGCAACTTTCCTGCTCTTTATTTGGTTTCATGCTTCTTTAGATGGAGTTTTAAGTAATCATCACTGATTATTACACCTTGTTTGTCCAGAAGGGATAAAATAGTTAGGGGCATACCCTCATACATATTGACTACATGGGTGTCAAATGTCTTTTGTTGTATGCTTTTCTATCTGATTCACTCTGCTTGAGGTTCGTCACAAGATTGACTAGTTTGATGTTCCTCATTTAGAAGAGAAACTATGTCAATGAAACCCTTTTTTTACGATTTGAGCTGAACTTTTTTAATAACGCTGATGCTTTTCGACTAAATCCCTTAATATAGTTTTGGTGATTAATGCGATGAAGTTCATGTCAAAGCTAATTTGAAGAACTTAATTGTTTCTTTAAGTGCTTGCTTTTCTTGTGTTTGCGTGTGTGCGCGCGTGCGTGTGTGTGTTGTATGGCTGGTGGTTTTGAGTTTGTTTTGGATTTCATGTCCATGATTTTTGAATCCTTTGAGTTGTTTTTTTTTGGATCTTGACTGAAGTGATGATTGTGAGTTTTTGTTTCAATTTTTTCAGTCATGAAAAGTGAATTACAATGGCATGTTTTCAAGTAATGACCACATGATAAAGGAGGAAACATAGTGGATATTAATTTCGTAACCAAGTACTCTCTCCTTCCTAAATAATTTTTTAATAAGACTTTCAAGGTACAATAAAAATCAAATGAATGTACCCATAGTACTCCGTATTTGTTTATATTCATTCAAAATCTAATATTATCTAAAACTGTAAAACATATAAAGACTATCCGAAAACTATATGCAGTACACTTTTTGGGTCAATGATCTATATCCATATCCATCAACTCTCCCAAAACAAAGCTTTCATTCCTTTTTTGGTTGTCCCATAATGAAGTTTTCATTCATTTTATAGAATGGATTTAGTAGTTCAAATTAACTTTCTCTCCCTCTTCTCTATATGAATCACATCTCAATTTATTAATTTACGTAAAAAAATCTTTTTGGCCAATATAGGTATTCAATACAAATAAAAATCTCCCATTATTTCACTCAATCAAACACTACCTTCTCTTGTTCGTGATCCACAAGCAGCCCCATTTGCCGAGCTCCGTCACTCCCTGCTGCGCCAGCACATCAGCTCCGGTGATCACGCACGTCTCGCCGGTAATCTGGATTCCCAGCGTCCCACTCATGCTACTCAACAACCTCCTTTTCATCTCCGGCGAGACTCCGGCGATCGGCGTGCCGTCGAACAACTGCATCCCCCGAACGAAGCACTTCATCGGGTCCTCGAACTCGTTCCTCAACACCGCCTCGTACGGGTATTTGATGAGGGAGATGTAGTGGAACCATATCCAGTATGGCGGGATCCGGTTCCGGCTTATGAAGAAGCCGCTGAAGAGGAGAAAATAAGCTAGAATGGCGACGACAATGGTGAAGCTGATCATAACATGGGGGACGACGCCGGAGAGGAAGGTGACGAACGAGATCCCCGCCCAGAACGAGGCAAGTATGATGCCGGTGTAGAATAGGAACCCCGAGAGGCCGCCGTCTAGGCCGACCGTCCAGAATGTTAGGACGGAGAAGGTGAGGGAGAGGACGACTAGGGAGGGGAACGAGACGAGCGCGAGGGATAGGCAATAGGAGGATCTCCGGTAGGTGTTGTGGGCCGTCTCCCGCATGAATATGAACCTTTCTTGGATGAAAACCGGCAGCGCTTCCGCGCACGTGTAGAACGTGGTGGAGATGGCGAAAGCGAAGAAGCCGAGCCGCTCCTGGACGCCTTTCGGGGAGTCGTCGAGCCGCCAGAACATGGTGGCTAGGATGAACCCGGTTACCACCACTGCACCTAACCGGGTTCCGAAAAGGGCGGGCATTCTCCGTGAGTTCTTGAATGACCGGTTCGACAGGATCGCGATTTCGGTCCACAACGGGTTGGCAAATTTGGGGACCAAGGAATTTTGGTTGACTTCGTTGGTGGTGGCGGTTGCGGCGGTGGCGGCGGTGGCCTCGGAGAATAGTTTACCACGGGAAATGCTCGCGCCAATGGACTCCTTTAGTGATAAACGTTGAACCAGAGAAAATTCGGTCCGGTTACTCTGCCAAGTTCGGTTGAACTCAACAAGACAATTCGTTCCTTCCGGCGAGCATTCCAACTCGCGGATAAGGTCAAGGGCGAACTCGGTCGGGTTCTCATTCTCCGGGATCGCGTGGCCGAAACCTGAGAAGAACCGCCGTAAATCGAACGGCGAACCGCTATATACAGTTCGACCGCCGGAGAGGAAGAGAACCCGGTCTAACAACCCCATTATTCGGTGACTCGGCTGGTGAATGGACATGATCACAATGCTCCCACTCCGAGCGATCCTCTGCACAACCTTCACCACCATGAACGCGCTCCTGGAGTCGAGCCCCGACGTTGGCTCGTCGAGAAAGAGGACGATGGGGTCATGGATGATGTCGATCCCTATAGACACGCGCCGCCGCTCCCCGCCGGAAACCCCGCGGTGGCCTTCGTCTCCGATCACCGTCTTTGCGGCGCTCCGGAGGCCCAATTGGTCGATCAACGCCTCGACACGCTCCCGCTTCTTTGCCGCGGAGTGGGCCCGCGGGAGGCGGAACTCCGCGGCGAACATGAGCGTCTCCTCGACGGTGAGCATGGGGTACAACAGATCGTCTTGCATGACGTAGGCGGATATGACTTTCATCAAGCCGGAATCCAACGGCTCGCCGTTGAGCTTCACGGCTCCTCTCAAGCTCTCCTTGGCGATCCGGTTCGCGAGGGCGTCGATGAACTTCGACTTCCCGGACCCCGACGCGCCGAGAACGGCCATGATTTCCCCGTCACGCGCCTCACCGGAGATGTCGTTGAGAAGCATTTTCGTCTCTCCGTCACCGGAGTTCAAGCCTCTCCGGAACCGGAGTATGGATGGAACCTCCATTTTCCGGCGTAGTTTCAAGTTGTAAGTGAGGTTATTGAAGGAGAGAACAAAAGGGAGAGGCGTCCTCAGGTCCGACGTCCCGGGATCGTTCCCGTAAAGAATCACGTGCGCCGGAGTTTCATCCCCGGCGATCTCTTTACTGACGTTCAAGGGGTGGTCGTGCTTCGGCGAAGTGGAAGCTGCCGCCCCGTCAGAGGCGGACATATTGGAGGAGGCGGTTTTACTCCGATCTCTGGCGCGCGATATTTTAGGAACAAAGTTTTGGGTAACAAAAACTTTAGTTGATGGATTTGTTGGTGACTTGGTGTAGAACCCTAACTACTTTTATGGGGTGCAAAATACGTAGTAGTATTCTCATAATCTCATTTCAATTTTTTTGCCTAAAATTAAAAAATAAAATCATAAAATTCACAAATTACCTCTTCTTTCTTAATATTTATCTAGTTTTAACTTTTTATAGTAATAAATCATCAAACTTTAATAAAAAATAATATGATAAATTTAATAGCCTTATTTGATTTGTCTTGAAATGATTTTTGAAATATAATATTTTTATTAACAAAAAAATGTATAAACATAAATATTAAAATGCTGAAATTGGTTTCAAAAACACTCTTGGTCTTTAGTAGTTATTCTTGGCCGAGAATTTCATAGGGTAGATAATATTTATTACTCACTCTATTCCAATTTAATATTCTCATTTTTTTTAATTTTTAATGAAAGTTTACTATGAAGTGAATTTATCCAAAATACATTTACTATAAAAATGCTTAAATCTGGAGAAAAAAGGAAAGGTATTTTTGTCCAAACACACAATTATATGAGAAATAAAATGATTAAATCTGGACTAAAATAAAAGAGAAGTCAAAATATTAAATCCCGATGAATAGAGTAAAAGCATTGGAAGAGTAAAATTTGCACTGAAAAGGACTACAACATAAATCATTTCCCAATGTAGGACTTAAACTTTTTTATTCTTTAAATAGGATTTAATAATAATGTCTAGTAAGAGTGATGCTGGATATTTAGTTGAATAATGACTAATAGATAATGACCAATGGTCCTACATTAGAAATAAAAACATATAGTCCTATATTGAGAAAGTTATTATGTTTATCCATTGGAAGACGCTAATAAACCATCTCTGAACAGAAATTACTTTTCAATTATCCTACTTCGTTCTATAAAATTATTTACAGAATAACGTTTTTACTTGAATTATTTTATACTTTTGCTATTAGTAAGTATTCCATATAGTTTAAAATAAATAAAAAATTATAAAAACTTGATGCATCACAATTGTATCTTAAAACTAATTCAATTATTAAATTTATATGATAACTAAGTACCCCGAGTATATTCTTTTTACAGTTAAATTTTATAAATTTGACCAGTAAAATGTTTTATAGGACAAAACCAAATATGTTCTTTGTTTTTTTTTTAACTTTTTCCACGTGAATGGCAGATGGATTTTCTTCCTTAATCAACGTATGAGTGAGTGAATAGGAGGACGCACATGGACTTAATAAGAAGATAACTGAATGAATGAATGAATATCACAATATCATTGCTCTCTTGACTCTTGGGAGCATCTTTGAAAATCGAGTGAATCAGTCTTAGGAGTTTATTTATTCTTTTTGTATGTGAAGAATTGGGAAGAGTTTTGGAAGAATAAAGAATTTAATATTTTTAAAAAGAAAAGTTCACGTCAGTACTTCTAATTTAGACAAATTCTTCTCACACTATTTTTTGCACGCGAATGCTCTAAAAATCACCTAATTTCACACATAATTATATTACATAGAAGTCGTTTGACTGATAAATCAGATATGACATGGGAAATAATGGGTTAACAACATATAATTTGAACTTTTTTTAATAACATTTTTGAAGATGAACATTAACACTATGTTCAATTATGTTTCTTTTATTAAGTTATTCAAAAAGTCCAAATGACATCCAATTTAAATCAATTACTTTAACTGTGTTGTCAACTTAATATTTCAATATGGTCATGTCAGTCAGTATAACTAAACGTAATTACGTATGAAGTTGATTGAACCATGCTACATTATCAATGTAATATCCGATGATTTCTCGTAGCATCAGTGTGCAAAAGAAAATTTGTAAGTAATACTCCGTATTGAAAAATGACTAAACCTAAAAGTATTGACGTGAATTTTTTCATTTATTTATTTCTGTATCATAGACAAATAAAGTAATTATAGAGAGTTATGGGCCGAGAACCTTTGTCCCCTAATCGTATCCCAACTCTCTGTTGCACCATTCAAAATTTGACACATAACTCACCACATCCATGTAAATATCCTCCTCTATCCTACTCCAAATCAAATGTAATTCGGTGTTAAATAAGAGGGTGGGGTAAGTTATTTGTCAAGTTTTATTAATTAATTTGGTCTGACAAGGGGTACGGTTAGATACGATTTAGGGATAGTTCAAAAAATTCTGGCACAAGAGTTATAAGAATCATTTAAATATGATAAGCATCGACCTCTACCATCACATGTTTCCTAACTCAACTTCAAGAGAATTGTTCGTGTCACAAACAAACAAAAAAACACAAAAGTAAAAAATATCCCACATGTCAACAACACTAGAAGAAGAAAATGATGTCAAAATTCAAATTGTTAACAAATAAAAAAAATTAATTTCACATAAATAATGCTTGATTTTGTAAACTCATTTGGGCCCAATAGCTTTCTTTGTTGGCGACAGAAGAAGGAAGTCATATCGAAGAAGGAAACTGAATCCCTTTGGGATTCGATTTAGTATCTTTCCTAGTTTGTTTATTTCTTGTTTTAGTAGGAATAGAAATATGGTAGGAATAGAAGTTTACTTATATGCTTTATTCTCTTCCTATATAAATGGGGTTAGATCTTTGTATTCACAGAACAATTCAATATACAGAATATTTTCTCTCTTAT